ATCTGCCTTGTTCACAAACACTACCATGTGCTCCACACCAATCTGGTGGAAGAAAATTGCTCCCATTAACAAGGTTTACACACAAGTTTAGAAAAGAACATTTAACACGTGCCATGTAGGAATAATCCTGACCCCAATGAATCCATGCCCCACCTCAGAGCCTTTTAAAGACTGCCTCCCTCTCCTTACACCATCCTTCCCCACTGCAGATTTAGGTTTCCAGCAAGGCTCCACCTGAAGAGACACATACCTGTTTGGCAAGCAGCAGGTGCTCCCTTGTCTGGGGCATGGGGCCATCATTGGCTGCCACCACCAGGATGCAGCCATCCAATGGGGCTGTGCCAGTGATCATGTTCTGGAGACAGAGAATGATATTACTTGAGCATGCAAATTCTCTTTAGCTTTCAAATTTTTCTGCCTTTGCCTTCTCCAAGGGATGTGATGTGGTCAGTCCTTTTCCATTATTCCCCCTTTTCCTGGGCCTCAAATCCTCCTCTCAAGCCTTTAACTTGTTTGTTCCTTTCTTCTTACCAGCAGCCCACTTTATAACCATGACACTTTTTATCTTCCCCAGAACTCCAAGTTCCATCCCACTCACCTTGACATAGTCAGCATGCCCAGGACAGTCAGTATGAGCATAGTGTCGACTGGCTGTACTATATTCCACATGGGCTGCATTGATGGTGATACCCCGGGCTCGTTCCTCTGGTGCATTGTCGATCTCCTCGTACTTCTTAAACTTGGCCCCACCACCCTCTGCCAGAACTTGGAACCAAAAGAGAAGAAATAGTTGAAGGGAGTATATACACTTTAAGTTGTACCCTGTCCTCTTCCCCTTTTGATCATCTCCTTACCCTAACAGGGTCAAGATGCTATACCTGAAGTAAGGCAAATGACACATCTGGGAAACAAGGATCCTTTGAGTTTCTATCTTTGCCCTGCCTCGACGTCTCCCCCCAAGACTCACAGGACATCCTCTATTAGTGCCACTTTAAAATTCCAACCTATTCATATAGATATATATAGATATATATATCTATATATGTATTTTCCACCCCTGATAACCAAAACGCTGTCCTCCCCCATACAAACATCTCTCTGTTCTTACTCTTGGTGATTGCTGCTGTCAGTGTAGTCTTCCCATGATCCACATGGCCAATAGTGCCAACATTAATATGGGGTTTGTCTCTCACATAAGTCTTCTTGGCCTCCACAGCAAGGCCCCGTAAAATAAGGGGCAGGGAGGGCTTCTGCCCTGGGTTAGAAAGTTGAGCCTGCATAGAAAGGAAACTGATCAATGCTGACAGCAGGGGAAAAAAAATTCCACAGCCCTTTGGTGGGTTAAGGGGGTAAAGATATGAGCTAAATCTTAGGGAACAGATAATGGCAGCTCCATTCACATAATTTTTCCTTTATTCTTTTTGGCCTTGGTCAGGTTTGGCATCAGGGATGTGTCCTTACCCTTTTCAAAAACTTGTGCAGCAGCTGGCAGCTCTGAAAAACTGAGAAGAAAATGCATTAAAGGAGAAGGCTGTGGTTCTTACTTTCCCCACTCTCCATATACCCTTGCCCTATTTCTCTCCGTTGCCCATTCTCTCCTATGCCCTTTCATCCCTTCTATGTTTCTATCCCAGAACCCCTTTCTTTTCTTCCTTTCCTCTATCCTTCTGACCCCAACTTCCCCCATCTTTTTTTTCTTTTTCTATGGTCCGCCCTACCCCAACCCCACCCCCGCCCCACCTCCTTCTTCCATTATCCAAAAGGCCCCTCCCCCCTCCACTCCTTCCCTCCCGCAGCCCCTTCTTGGGTACCCAGCCTTCCCTTCTCCCTCCCTGCCCTCCTACATCACTCCCCTGAATGCCTGAATCTTTTCCACACTCCTCTTCTCCCTCCTTTCCTAAGACGTCCCTCCCAACCCTCCCCGTCGGTTCTGCTCTGCCCCGGGGTCAAGGGGACCAGCAGCCTCTCTTCTCCTCGCCCTCCTACCACTGGGCCCGGGCCGTGGGCGGAACATAACAGTTGCAGCCATCCCGATGAAGAGCGGGGGCGGGCGGAGAGGGGAGGGGATAATGGAAGCGCTAGAGGGAAAACAGTGTCAGAGGGGAAAGGGACCGGGAACGGCACAGCGTGTGAGACACTAAGGGCACCGGGAACTGGAAGGTACTTCCGTCGGACGGAAGTGATGTAAGGACAGGAAAGGGAGACTATTGAGAGGCCCCCTCTAGGACCCCTGTGGCGGACTTCCTATGAAGCCGGATACCCGGAAGAAGGCTGAGTCCGAAGGCTGGAGGCATAGGCCGGCTGCCAGCTCCCACAATGCACCGCCAGTAACAAGAGCGAAACCCCGCCCCCTGTTTGTGTTGCCTCCTGGGATTTGTGGTCATCTGAGGGTAGGGACTGTAAAGGGCTCCTTCTGGGGGAGTTCTTAGGAGATGTTTGGAGGATTTCCCAATTTGTGTGAAGTGATATGACGCTGGAGTCCTTTTCGTCTCAAATGCTATCCTACTAGCCCCTGGTGAATGAATGAATTCATAAATGAATGAAGAAAAGCATTTGAGTGCACTTGCAGTGGAGGTGCCCACTTGCCTCGGTAGTTTCCTCATTGGCAGGAGCACCTTGCGTCAATGAAATCATATATCTAGTTCCTGTCCCTAGCTCTGCTATGTTACAAGCAGTGTGCTAAGTCCTGGAAATGCAAAAGAGAGACAGTCCCTGTCCTTACAGAGCTTACAACCTAACAAGGGCAGACAATACATAAAGGATATTCCCTAGGAAAGGATATTTTAGTCTGGAAATTAATAGGGATGGTGAGGGGAGGTATAGGGCAGTCAATCAATACACTCTTTCCAGAAGCCATGGCAGTGTTGATTTGCAAACAGGGCCTAAAAGCAAAAAACTGAGGGAAACTAAGAGTTGGGGAGAAGGTAGTGGTTTCCATGCAGAGCTGCATAGCAGGAAAAGGGTGGGGCAGGGGTGGGGGGAGGTTGGGGTTTAAACGTGGTGGGAGTCTAAGATTACCTAGGTATATTGAGCTCGAATTGTTCAGCATAGAACCTTCCCCAGGGAGCTCCAAAGTTGAGTGGCTTATTTCTCCAAGGCATGAGGGCTGGGGTCTCCCATTTCTGCCCTGGAGATCCATTCTGGCTTCTGCCAGAAATTTCCCTATTAAGGACCTTCCTTTGAGTTCCCCTTTTGAAAAGAAAATACTCCTAAATCAGTAACAAAATTTACTTAACATGCTAGACCCTGTCTTCTTAATGGGAGATCACTGGCCACCCCCAACTTCTAAATTGGGGATGTGAAGGCCCCTAGCCTGAGTTATTGTACAACCTTGCTAAGTGGTTTTCTTGTTCTAATATCTTTCTCTGATCCATCCTTCAAACAGATTCTTTTGTAAAACACAGCTCTGATCACATCACTCTCCTAATCAGAAACCCTCAGTGGTTCTCCAAGATGTGTAGCAGGAAGGCATTGTGGTGTAACGGAAATAGCAATGACTGGTCTTGGAGTCAGAAGACCTGAGTTCAGATACTGTTTCTGATACTTATTAAATGTGTAACCTTGATAAGTAACTTCATTTCTCTTAGCCTAAGTTTCTTCATTTGCAAAATGGGGGAAATATTGGTCACATTAATTCATAAAGTTGTTGTGAGAAGGAAAGTGTATTGAAAAACCTTGAAGTTCTATAAAAATGTGAGCCATTATTATTATTATAGGATAAAATCCAAACTCTTTTGACCTAGAATTCAAGACCCTCTACCATTTGACCCCTACCTTACCTTTCCAATCCCAGTTCTCACTGTTGCCTTCTACTTTTAAGCTCCAGCCAACTTGGTTGATGTTCCATCTGGAATGTCTTTATCTATTCACTCTATCTATTTGAACCATGCGCTGCTTTAAGGCCCAGCTCAAATTCCTTCTACTTAGTAAATCTTCTGCCAAAACCCTCAGTCTGAAGGGCTCTGTTCTCAGCATTATCAAAATACTTTGTACTCCTTCTATGGCTCTTATCATATTTGTAGCAGTAGTGATCAGGAGAATGCTGATCAATATGATGAGTCTCTCAATCATCTAGATAAGACCTTTGTTAGAGGGGCTACATGGAGCTACATAACTGCCATTGTCGCTTGTTGAGAAAACATAGTGATTTTCTCTTATTGGTCCCCAGTGACTGGGGCTTAAAGATGACTGGGTACTGAGAATCAGGGGATACATATTCTTGTCAGAAGAACCATCTTTCTAGATGTCTATAAAAATGAGTTGTGAAAGTCTACCGCTGGGTAGAATTTATAAGCAAACAAGGGAGAGAGGATGATAGAAGATAAATTGGACAATTTTGATTACATAAAATGTAAAAGCTTTTGCACAAACAAAATTAATGTAATTAAAATTAGAAAGGAAAAAGGTAATTCAGGAAAAAAATCTTTGCAAAAACTTTTTCTGATAAAAGTCTCATTTCCAACATATATAAGGAATTGACTCAAATTTATAACATGAGCCATTCACCAATAGATAAACAAAGGACATGAACAAGCAGTTTTCAAAGGAAGACATTCAAGCTCTCAATGATCATATGATAAAATGTTCCAAATAATTAATAGAGAAATGCAAATTAAAACAGCACTGAGATTTTTACCTCATATCCATCAGATTGGCAAGGATGACAAAAAGAAAAAATGACAAATGTTGCAGGAGCTGAAGGAAAACAGGCATGCTAATGCACTATTAGTGGAACTTTGAATTGGTCCAGCCATTCTGGAAAACAATATAGAACTATGTCCCAAAAGTCTCTAAATTTTGCATACCTTTTGACTAGTGATACCACTAATTGGGCTATATCCCAAAGAAATCAGAGGAAAAGGACCCATGTATACAAAAATACAGCAGCTACTTTTCATAGTAGCTGGAAACTAAGGGGTTGATGCCCATTTATTGGGGAATTATGGTATATGAATGTCATACTTAAGACAAACCCTTGAGATATTCAGTACAATTGTAATCTCTAGTTTACAGATAAACTAAACCTCAAAGAGGTCAAGGGACTTTTCTATAATCACAAAGCTAATAAGTGTTAGAGCCTGGACTCAAATCCAAGGTTCCTCTGACTCTAAGTCTGGTATTCTTCACTACACTATGTTATCTATGTTAATCATAAATACAAGCCCCTAACCCAGAGGTAGTTGTAGAATCCTAGAAACAAAACACCATCGACATGAATCTTCAGTTAAAATAACTTGAGTCCACTAGTTTCCTGACTTTATCATTCTTCAAGTCTAAGTACCAGAGCTTTGGCTATCCCTGAAATTCCCATGACAACTATTGTTGCTGGTTGTCCTTCATTCTTGAAGGGAACCACGACATCAGGAAGTCGATGTCATGACTTACCAGTGAATTGGATTTAAGTGAGGCAGGGCTGTACAAAGTCACCAGCCTCACCTTCTCCTCCAGAGCCTTCTGGGTCCAGTGGCAAGATATAGATGAGGATGACTAGAGATGCACACCCCTCCCCCCCATAGCAGGTTCATCTATCATTATGTAGCACCCCAAGGGACCATACAAGTCATCTAATTCAACCTCCTCATTTAACAGAAGAGGAAACTGATGCTTAGAATGTCTCTAGGGCCAGGATTTAAATTCAAGTACTCCACTTCTCTTTCTCAGTACATCATGCTACCTGATAAACTAGAGACATGGCAGGAAGTTTTTTTCAGTGGAGCATCAAGTGTGGAGGTCTCCTTGGATGTCCCCATCAAGTACTTCCCTTAGTCTGATATCAGCCCCTGAGCAGTTGAAAACCCCTTCCCCAAGAGCTGAGAGAGAGAGGCCTCAAGGCATCTCTGCGGTTGCTGTAAAAGGTCTCTTCCCCAGAAAAAGGTCAAGGTCTTAAACTTAAGGGCAGGTAGGTGGCATAGTGGATGGAGAGCTGGGCCTGGAGTCAGGAAGTCCTGGGTTAAAATCTGACCTCAAGACAAGTACCTGTGTTACCCTAGGCAAGTCACTTAACCCTGTTTCTCTCAGTTTCCTCATTTGTAAAATGAGCTGGAAAAGGAAATGGCAAGCCAGTCCAGTATCTTCGCCAAGAAAACCCAAAAAAGGGGTCACGAAGAATCGGACACGACTAAAAACGACTGAGCAACATAAACTCTGGTTCCAGACTCTCCAGTTGGGAGGTGGGAGTTCTTTCTCAAGGTCACCTCAGCCTTTCCACATCCCTCCCCCAGGGGGTGCTGTCCTTTTTTTCAGAGAACGGAAGGATCCGGCGCTCTAGGAGGCCACCTGACTCCTCTGTGACCTCTAACCAGCCCTTGCACCGTCCTCTCTCTGGTTTCTCATGCTCCCCTAGCGGTAGTTTAGCCTTGCATTTGTTTGGAATACTCTATCTCGAGGTACCGTCTCTATGGTTGGTCGGCCAATCTCCGCCAATCTTCTCCGTTCTCTTTACGGAAGATGACAGGGAGGTCCTACTCTAGACTAACCCATCTCTGTGGGATGTCTCAGGGGATGTCCCGACCTGAGGGGCGACTGGTGGAAACGCTAAAGTGTTCACAGCGCCTCCTCTACATTTAAGAGCCCCTGTTCCTTCACCCTGGGAGAACGATCTCTATGATCCCCACGCCTTAGGAGGAGGAAGTCGGAGGGAACGTGCCTTTCTCTCCCCGCTACCTTATCTATGGTCTTTTTTTTTTTCCTTGATGGGAAAGGGGGTCCCGGCGCCTGCGCAGTAGCTGGCTGGTCGCTGGTCACTGGTTGTTGGGGGTGGGGGGGGAGCGGGAGCCGCCGCTGCTGCCGCCGGAGCAAACCGCGGGGACCGAGATGCAGGTGGGACCGGAACCGGAACCCCCCTCCTCATTCTTCTTTCCCCACCCGGACCCTCCCCCCTTTCCCCGGTCTGGGACTGGAGGGAGGGCCGAAGGTCCTTGCGCGGGGCTGGGCTCGGAGGCCGGGGGTTGGAGGAATACACCCAGGGCAGCGCCCCCCCGGAGGCCGGTGGAGCGGGGCGCAATGGGCGGAGGTGAAGGAAGCCGCCCACGGGCGGAGGGAAAGCCGGCGTTCTCCAGAGCCCCCCACCCCTGGAGGAGCGCTGGGTCTGGGCAAGGGAGCAGGGCTGCCCGCGGCCTCATCACTGCAGGGCCAGGGGGTTGGGGCGAGTGGGCAGCGGCAGCCGGGCTAAAGGAGCTGCGGCATTTGCGGGGGAGCGACCTCAAGGGACCCCCGCTGGGTGAGGGTCAGGTGGCCCCGTTGTTGATGTGGAACATACGAGCTCTAGGGTGGGGGGGAGTAGGCATGTCATGCTTGGGTGTCTCCCTCAGCATGCACCAAACCTCCCTCTTTCCCAGGCTCTTCGTTGGCATTTGAGACTTCTTGTGTTTCTGTCTCCTCGAGGCAGGGTCCGGGGGCAGGTGTAAAAGGCAGCCGAAAGGATAGGGAATGAAATGAGAGTGAGGCTGTTGGTCCAGAAGTGACTCGCAGAATTGGCGTGGAGTGCCTGTCAGGAAGGAGTTCTTGAGATAATAAGAAATATAGGAGGCCAGACTTCTTTAAGGCCACTCTCATTCCAGCCCTGTTCATGGAGGTCTGGCCTTTGGAAATTATTTCCTTTGTCCATTCCAGGTTCTGATGTCTCTCTGTGGAAATTCATTTGGATGCTGAACCTAGGCTTGTGCAGAATTTCCCATCTTAGGGAATTGGAATAAGGAATCAGGGGACTTAGGGGCTAGAACTTCCAGCCACCACTTTTTCGACCTTAGACAGTCATTCAACTACTAGTTTGTTTTCTTACCCATAAAATGGGCACAAGAGCTCCTGGTTTACCTCTCTAATAGGGTTGCAGTGAAGATCAAGTAGGAGAATGTGTGTGAAAATGCTTTGAAATCATAAAGTGCTATGTGAATGCTGTTATTTGTCAAGCAGAAATTTTTCTAAAATCCTTCCTAGCCCGGTCAACTAGTGATGCTGCAAATAGTGGCTATAAGTCTTGTCTAAAGAAGCACAGGATTAGTGGCTCTCAGTTCTGAACCTGGTTTTTCCCACAGTCCAATTGCTCTGGGCCGTGGGACTAAGGGCCTGTGTGCTCATTTTCACAGCTCGTCTAACCTTTAGCCCCTTTTGCTTTCTTCTGTTCTTAGTGACGGTAGAAAATAGTTCATCCCAGCCTTCTTATAGTTCCTTTTATTCTTGAGACTGAGGGGAAGAAGTAAGGTAGTAGTACTCAGCATTTGGATGGTGAGGAGCTACTGAGGATGGAAGGGGGTGGGTGGGAATGATGCCTTCAAGGAAGTACCCTCATACCATAATGCTTAAAATGGCAATGAGCCTTAGGGAGAGAACCAAGGTGGCAGTCACCTACCTATTACTGACCTGTTAGGGACCCTTAGAGTAAGATATTAGATACATTTATTCCTGAAAGAGAGGAGATTGGAAAGGAAGCTTTATATATCTGAAGGGTTTCTTTTTTGGAGGATGGTGACCAGCTTACCTTTAACTCTTCTGAGATCAAAGCCAAAGAATGTGGGCTGAGATTCCAGTAGGAAAGGTAGAGCTTAGATATCAGGAAAAACCTACCAGTGCTTGAGAGGTGTTAGAACCTGGAATATGGGAAGGAAGCTGACATATTTTGAAGGACTTTCTTGAATCTGTCTGAATCAGAGAGGAACAAGGTGAACAGAAGGCACTGTGGAAAAGTGGATGGCTTCTCAGTGGGGGTGGAACAATTGGGGAATTTCTGGTACTTGGGAAAAGGTCTAGAACTTATTCTCTATAAGCTGTAATTCTAATACTGACTCCTACATATGTGCCTCTTTTTCCCTTCCACAGTTGCTGCAGATGACCCTGAGTCTTCTGGCCTCCCCCCCCACTTCCTTCCCTCCCCTGGGTCCCCCACTCTCCATTTCATCTGGCTCATCATGAATGGTGCCCCTTCCCCTGAGGATGGGACTTCCCCTTCTCCTCCCCCTCTGCCACCACCACTTCCACCACCTCCTCCCCCAAGTTGGCGGGAGTTCTGTGAATCCCATGCTCGGGCAGCAGCCCTGGACTTTGCCCGGCGCTTCCGCCTCTACTTGGCTTCCCATCCCCAATATGCAGGGCCTGGGGCTGAGGCAGCCTTCTCCCGACGTTTTGCTGAGCTCTTCTTGCAGCACTTTGAGGCAGAGGTGGCCCGGGCCTCAGGTTCCCTTTTATCGTCTGGGCCGATCCCCCTGAGTCCCAGTACGGAAATCCCATCCCGTGATCTTTCCCTGGAGAGCTGCAGGAACAGTGGGCCTCTGACTGTGTTGGGTCCTTCTCGATCCTCTGAAGACCTGGCTGGCCCTCTCCCTTCTTCAATCTCTTCATCCTCCTCAAAGCCTAAGCTGAAGAAACGTTTCTCCCTCCGCTCTGTGGGCCGAACAGTACGAGGCTCAGTCCGAGGGATCTTGCAGTGGCGGGGAGCTGGCGATCCCCCCTCTCCAGTGGGACGCTTGGAGACCTCTGTCTGTGGGCCACCTGTCCTGGGTGGAAACAGCAACTCCAACTCCTCTGGTGGGGGTGGTAGCACCAATGTGGGGCCAACTAGCGGTGGGGCATCCCCTGGGGAAAGATGGACACACCGCTTTGAGAGGCTGAGACTAAGTAGGGGAGGGGGACCCTTAAAGGATGGGGCAGGGACAGTGCAAAGGGAGGGGCTACTGAGCTTCATGGGAACAGAGGAGGCAGCTGTTGGTGGAGAAGGTCGAGGGGGAGGAGGACCTGGAACCTCATCTGGGGGTGGGGGACCACCGAGGTGGCAGAAGTGTCGCCTGCTGCTTCGGAGTGAGGGGGAAGGAGGAGGAAGTCGACTGGAGTTCTATATCCCACCTAAGGTGAGAGAGAAGGGGAAGTGTGACTGGGGATAAATAATGTAGAAGCCTTGCAGATAGAACCCCAGTAGTTTACCAGCCTACAGGCTTTTACCTTTTTTTTTTCTTTTGAAACTTGGACCCATCTTGCTAACTCTTGACACTTGTTGAGTATGCAGGACTAGGTTGGTGATATCAACAGTCTTTCTGCCACCTCCACATTACTTACAAGGTAGAGCAGGGAGCCATTGGGCTTGTGTTGACACCCCTTTGGTGAAGTGGGAAGAGTTGGGAGGCCAGGTTTCCCCCGGGAAGTGGAGGAGTGTTTTTGAGCCTGAATATTGGGACTCCTACCGCCTCTTCTACCACAGGCATCCCGGCCTCGGATCAACATCCTGTGTTCTACCATCACAGATGTCCGGACAACCACAGCCCTGGAGATGCCTGACAAGGAGAACACGTTTGTGGTTAAGGTCGGAGGCTTTGGCACTTTTATTCTTCCTTGACTACCCATTCCAAAGAATATGATTTTTATGTATTGGGGGAGGGGAAGGTGAGTGCAGAGTTGTAAATGGTCAGGTTCTTAGTTTTTCCAAGGACTGGAAGCTGTGAGAAAGGTGCCATGACCCCACAGCCAGGGGACTCTTCCCCAAAATGAAGACATGTTCTTGAAGTTTAGGCAATTCTGTGTGTGTGTGTGTGTGTGTGTGTGTGTGCGCGCGCGCGCGCGTGTGTGTGCATCTGTATATACGTATATGTGCAAATAAGTGCACACAGAGAAACAAATGTAATACATATATACATACATACACACACAAATGAAAGTATTTACTTGGGAAGAGAAGCAAGAGGAGAGGAAATAGCTAGAAAGAATACTCTTCTTTTCACTGAGGTTGGGTGAAAAGACCTGAGGAGCTCTCAGTGTCTTATTGGTCTCCTCTTTCCCCCATCCCCTGTCTGAAGTACCATACCCTTGCCTCCATAGGTGGAGGGTTCAATGGAATACATCCTGGAGACAGCTGATGCGCTGAGTATGAAAGCCTGGGTGTCTGATCTACAGGATTGCTTGAGTCCAAGGTGAGGGGCCTGAGGAAGCAAGGGAGGAGAGGTGGTAGAAAAGATGCTTAATGCTGCTCGGTTCACCTTGTGACTTTTTTCCCTCTCCCTTTCTTCTTTTCCCTGAAATTTTCTGTTCCACTGATAAACAGTCTGATACCCACCCTTGGCACTTCATTCCCTACCAGGGAGAACACAGACAGCCTGGATCTATCCTGCCTCAACCACTCAGAGAGTCTGCCCAGCCAAGAGCTGCCCTTGGGACCTAGTGAGAGCAACGAGCACCTGTCTCAGGGTGAGGCAGGAGGGAATGAAAGCCACACCCTTGGGGGACAACTTTTGTGTTGTTAACTACATATTAATCACAAAATGTTAGAGCTAGAAGAGATCTTATAGTCCAGCCTCCTCATTTTACAGGTGGGGAATCCGAGGGTCAGAGAGGAGGAGTGTCTTGTCCAAGGGAACGTAGCTAGTAAGTGGCAGAGTTGGGATTAGGACGCAGATCTCCTGACTAATAATCCAGGTGGTGTATTTTTTGAGGACCTGCTGTCTTAGCTTATTCAATTAATTAGCAGTCAGTAGATTGTCAGACTCAATGACTTCTGAGGTCTCTTCTGTTTCTAATGTGGAGATATTTATTCAGTGTCCAGTAGATGCTTTGAACTCTGGACACACAAAGAACTTTAAGGTATAGCTCCAATTCATAAGGTCCATTGTAGAGTGAGGGGGTGGGGGAGACTTACTGTAAGATGAAACAAGCCGTCGTATGAGGTTGGACCAGCCAAGTGGGTGGTGAGTGGTGCTGGGGACTAGTTGTATTGGGTCTGGGAGGATGAGGCCACTGGCGGCTGGAATGGTCAAGAAAGGCTTTCCGGAGGAGCTGGGCTTGGATTTAGATAGGTGTAGGTGGAGGGACAGTATAAGCAAAGATGCAGAGGTAAAGAAGCAGGATGTGTGTTTGAGGGGCAACAAGTGATCCGTTGGGCTGGAGGGGGATAAGAGAAAAGACTGGAGAGATAGGTAAGTTGGGGTTAGGCTGAAGGATTCAGTGCTAAGCCAAATTCAGTCTTTATCTTTTAGGACATGAGCGGCAGCTAGGTGGTACAGTGGATAGAGCACTGGCCCTGAAGTCAGGAGGACCTGAGTTCAAATCCGGCCTCAGACCAAACACTTGACACGTACTAGCTGTGTGACCCTGGGCAAGTCACTTAACTCCAATTGCCTAAAATAAATAATAAATATCTTTCAGGACATGAGCCACTGGAGGGTTTTGAGCAGCAGGTTGGTAATGAATAGTGTATTTTAGGAATATTTCTTCCGTACCATCTATAGGATAGATTTGAGGAGGAAATTCGAGTCACGGAGACATGTTAGGAAGCTATTGTCTCTCTGTCCTAGGGAGAAAGGTTCCCTTTTGCCTAATTGGGGAGTAGATTGGGTTATGGAGGCTGCTGAATTTCAAACCTTCCTTGCACCCTTGGTTTTTCCTTTAGGGGCGTATGGGGGCCTCTCGGATCGTCCTTCAGCTTCTGTCTCCCCTAGCTCTGCCTCCATTGCTGCCTCCCATTTTGATTCAATGGAACTACTGCCCCCAGAGTTGCCCCCCCGAATTCCTATTGAAGAAGGGCCCCCAGTGGGGACAACTTACCCCCCACCAGCCCCTTACCCTCCTCCGGACACTCCAGACACCACAGGTACCAGGGTGTGTATGTGTGTGTCTGTCTGTGTATTAATGTATGTATCCATATGTATGTGTGGATGGAGAGGAGGGTGTGTGCGTGGGTCTTTGTCATATAGGTCTTTTTAACTACTTCTAATTCTAGTTTTCTTCCTACCTAAACTCTCACACCTTCCAAGCCTCCTCATGGAGGATGGCACATGGGGAGGAACCTCTTGGGTCTTTCAGATCTGAGGGACTATGGGTGCCTAAACTAGAGGAAAGGAGAAGATGCAGAAGGGAAAGACTTCAAGACGGAAGACTCTTGTCCTCAGGGATGGGGGAGGCTTCCCTGACACCCCGGTTTCCCCACTCTTTCCTCCCTGAAGGTTCGTTCCTGTTCCAGGGGGAGTCAGATGGAGGTGATGGGGACCATCCCCTTTCAGAGTACCCTTGGTTCCATGGGACCCTTTCCCGACTCAAAGCTGCCCAGCTAGTGTTGGCAGGGGGTGCTGGCAGCCATGGTGTCTTCCTGGTACGTCAAAGCGAGACAAGGAGGGGGGAATATGTCCTCACATTCAACTTCCAGGGCAAGGCCAAGGTGAGTGGCGCCATGGAAGAAAGGGCTTCTTTCTTTCTTAGAGGAAAGGAAGCTTCAGAGGAGAAGGCTATAGTGTCCAGGGAAGAGGATTAGCTTAGGGAAGTATCCCATGGAAGGAGAATTCAAAGAAGGAGGGGGAGTTCAGGAAATAGGAGGTTCCCCAGGGACATGGGGAACTGTTGGGGAAAAGATTTTAGATCCCAGGGGAAAGGATAGTTTAGGAGAGATGACAGGAAGAAGGTGGCAGCCCTCAGGTCCCAAGAAGAAAGCAGTCTTTACCTTCCCCATCCCGGCCCCCCAGCACCTTCGTCTGTCCCTGAATGAGGATGGTCAGTGCCGGGTGCAGCACCTCTGGTTCCAGACGGTCTTTGACATGCTGGAGCATTTCCGGGTCCACCCCATTCCCTTGGAGTCTGGGGGCTCCAGCGATGTCACCCTCGTCAGCTATGTTGTGGCCTCCCAGAGGCTACAAGGTAAGCGGGGCTGCAGGGGAGAAGGTTCTTGCTCATCAGAGAAGTGAAGTGTGAGCAGAGAGGAGAAGGCTCTCTCATACGCGAGTTGTGGAGCATGTTTAGAGGGGAAGGAGGGAGGGAAGGAGAAATCATTTATACATGTGGAATGGAAAAGAAAGTGAACGTGCCCTGCCGAGAGGTGTTCAGCCACCCTTCCTTTCCCTTCAGAGGTGATCCTCAAACCAGGTGGGAGGCGGGGAGGTGGTGAGAATGGGGTTGGTACATTTTCATTTCCATCAAAAGCCTCTGCCCGTTGTCTGTCTCTGCTTCCATTCTTCCCTACTTCTTCTCTCTCCTCCTCATCTGTACCCTGATCTTCCTCTGTCCCTTCTTGGCGATGCTTTGTCTGCTCCCCATGTGTTTACCCTTTGTGACCTTTACCCAAACCTCTGCTCCTCATCTTTCCCCTTCCTAACTACCCTCCAACCCCTGCTGTCCTGTCTGTCCCTCCTCCTCACTCCCCCTCAGGCAGGGAACGGGCAGGGAGCCGAGCTGGGGTGTGTGAGGGAGATCGCTGCTACCCCGACGCCTCTTCCACCCTCATGCCCATCGGAGCGAGTGACTGTGTGTAAGTGTGCTTCCTCCCCATGTTCCGTCCTCCATGAGGGGGCTTGGAAGGTGTGGGAAGAAGGTACTTGGGTCCTGAGGATAATGGAGGTCAAAGGGAGGGGGTGCCAAGACAACTGAAGTCGTATGTGCTCTACCTGAGTTACCTTCTCTCCTCCTGTTTCCAGAACCGAACATCTCCCATGACCCATCCCAATCTCCTGACCCTGATTCGAGGGCAGACTGTGCACACCCTGGGGAAGAGGAGGAGATGGTGGAGGCATCAGAAGCTTCAGAGGAAGAGAAGGCAGGCAGTGGAGGGACCCCAGGAGAGCTGGGCCCTGTGGCTGAGCTTGAGGGGTCCTCAGGGCTAGAGGGGCCTGGTGGGGAGGTGGGAGTGGCCCCTTTTGTGCATTTCTTGCAGTTGCAGCCAGGGAATGCCGGGGAGGAAGGGGTTCGCTCCAGAGCCATCAATAACCAGTACTCCTTCCTATAAGGAGGAATACCCCCACACAATCAATTCCCCCTTTCTCCCTGGCCCCGTGCCAGGACCCAGGACAGATCCTCTCAGAGAGGTACAAATGCTTCCCTTGCCCCTGTTTGTCTCGGGGGTGGGAATAGTACAGGACAGAGGGACAGAGCCATTAGTAACTTCCCACATGACACACTCCAAGCTGCCCCTTTCCCTGGGCAGGGGACTTGGAACCGTTACCTCCTTTTGGGGGTGGGCCAATTGTGCTCAGCCTCGCCCCCTGTGGGCCATTTCTCCAGTGCCTCTCACAGCTCTCTGTGATGTATTGGGGAGAGGCTGTATCAGCTACATTAAGGATTTTTTTTTTAAGTGAAATGGAGAAACAAATAAAAAGGTTTATCTCAGCTCTCTTCTGGTCATTGGCCCAATGTTTGTATCACAGAATGGAATTGGAGATGGGGACATAATTGGCTCAGGAGGTGCACATAGATATGCTTTTGAGTCCTGGATCAGCCACTTCCTGGGTGACTTTGTGCCTGTCACTTCCCATGTCAGACTAGTCAGCTCTTAAGTCCCTTCCAACTCTTAACATTCTGATTCTGGAATTCCAGCCCCTGCGGGAGAGCTGTAAATAGAGCCAAGGGGTGAGGGTGGCTTCTTTTTTCCTAAATAGGTTGTTCTGGGAGAGGTCCAAGGTAATAGCCATTGAGCTGGGCTAGAAAAGCCAGACTTGGGGGCAGGGTTTCTGGGTTCTTGAAAAAAGAGGCATCTGGCCTAGGGTTGGGGTGTCCTAGCTCTGCTACTCAGTTATATGTGTTACCTTGGAGAAGTCACTCAATTTATTTGGGCCTCAGTTTACTCCTCTGTAAATGAGGGGGTTAGACTTAGATGGTATCTTGAGAACCCTTCCAGTTGTGACATTGAGTTGTGGCTGCTCCCAGCTTTGGTGGTACGTTTCTCCAAAAGAGGGCGCTCCTGGGCCTCCTTGCTACCCTGGCCCCCAGGAAGAGTTCAGAGGATTATTGGATTTAAAATCATTTTAGAGAGAAAAAAAGAATTGGCAGAAGCCATCCAGTCAAACCCCCTGGTTTTAAAGATGAGTAAATGGGCCCCCAACAGGTAAGTGGTTTGCATAAGGTCAGACAGGTAATGGGAGCAGAGCTGGAATTCAGACCCAGGACCGCTGACTGTGAATGCTCTGCTCCTTACGTTACACCATGCTAGCTGCCTAAAACCGTTTCGAAACATTCCTGAGCTACTCTCTGTTTTACCGGTTCTGCCCTTCACCTCTGTCTTTTTCTCTTGTGTTCCTGCCCTGCTACCGCCACTCCTCAGTCTAATGGGATGCTCTAGCCCTATGTTCTTCCCTTTTCTTTGGCTTTGCCACTCCCTTTCCTTCTGTCCCAGCTCCCCTCCTCCAGCAGGCCCTAGGCTCTTGTGACCTTGTTATTCTGAGCCTCTGGTTCTGACAGGAGATGGACAGGAGACAGCTGAAGTCTGCAGTATACCCTGGGCAGGGAGCTGGCGGAAGGTTGCTGATTTTTCCCACTTGGTCTTCTTTCTGGGGCTCCCTTATTATCCATTTAGGGGAACCTGAGGGCTGGAACCCCCCCCCCCGAAGATGGAGAAAGTTGGGGGATCTTGGTGTTATGAATGGGGAGTACGAGAATTCCACCACTTTAGAGATAAGCAGGATCTGATTCAGACCTAATCTGACCAGAAATAAATTACATTCCCTGCTTGCCCCTTTCATCTTCAGAAAATTGCCTTTGTAAGTCAAAAGGGGACTCTTCAGGGAACAGAGGGCACACAGGATCCAAAGGCCTTCTTCAAAGGGTTCTTGTGTTTGGATGATTGTTCATTTTCCCTAAACTCTGGGCCTTAGCACCTCCTCACAGACTCTGGGATGTTAGAGCTGAAATGTACCTGAGAATTTTGGTCCAACCCCCTTGTTTTGTAGATGGGAAAACTGAGGTGCAGAAAGAAGTTATTTTTCAGAATGACAAGGGGAACTGATGACAGAGCCCTTTTTTCCTACCAGCCCTAGGGATAGGGGTGAGAATGCCTTTCTCAATCAAATCAGAAAGTGTTTGACCATCCTCAGAAAAGAATCTTAGTCATTTTCTAAATCATTTTCCTTCTCCACCTCTGATCTCCCCTAGTTTGATATTGGATGAAGTATTTTTTCCTCTCTGTGCCTCTAGTTTTCTTATCTGTAAAATTAGGGGACTTAGGGCTTTGGACTAGTACTCAAAACTTCAAAGTCCCTTTTTGGTTTGTCCTTTAACATGATTCTGTGCTCTTTTATCTCCCATATAATGCTCTTTGCCCCCTTTAATTCTCTCTCCTCCTCTCTCTCTCTCTCTCTCTCTCCCTCCCTCCCTCCCTTCCCTTCCCTCCCTCTCTCCCTCCCTTCTTCTTTCCCCCCCTCTCCATGTTTGGTCACTCTTGCTCCTTCAAGACGGGCAGTGGCCCCTGTCACTCAACCAGGGTGGGGAAAAACTAGCCTGAGCAGTAGCTTAGGTTATGGTGAATTTGCCCTCTCACCCCTCTCTCCTCAACCCAGATAACATGGGATCACGGGATAGGTCTGAAAGTTCCCTGATTCCTGTGGGTGTGATTCTCTCACATAACGGCCCCATTTTGTGTAGCCCCCACACTCCGACCCCCCCCCCCAGAGGTCAGGGAAGGACTCAGCTGTGGAGGAGAGACAGTCAAAGCTGTGAAAAAGGGGAGGGGGAGGAGAGCTGTGTCCTCACCTCACCCTGGAGATTGCCCTTCCAGCCCAGGCAGAGGAGTGGTAGGGTACTGGAGGGTTCAAGAGGGAAGCATTCCTAAATCTCTCCCCACCCCCACCCCACCAAGCACTCTGGGTTTTCCCAAGTGAGGGAGTCTCCTTTCCTCAGGCTCCCTTTTCCCTGTACTTTTCTTTAGACTATTAGAGCCAAAATGGACAAATGGACCTTAAAAGAATAATAAACTGGCTTGGCATCCTCATACTACAAATGGGAAAATGAAGGCATGGGGGAAGTGATTTGCCCAAGGTCACAGCTCCTTTTCTAAGACCTTCCCACCTCTAACCCTTCACTGGTTAATCCTCATCCCCTCTGCTCTACTACCATTTCTTTCCTTTGCCCCTTCGGCTATTGCCTTCCTCATTCCCTCTCTTTTTCCTCTACTCCTTCTTACCAGCCCGCAATACCCACACTCTTTCCTTCTGACCCCCAAGGTCCCCTCCTACCTCCCCCATTCTTTAGCAGTTGCCTAGTGGTAACCAGATGCTCCACCCTGGGGCAAAGGTGGGGGCTGGCTCAGAGCAGCTGCCACTCCTGGGAGGCTGACACTGAATCCAGGGCTCAGAAACTTCTTGTGCTTTCAAACCCAGTCTTTCAGTCCTACCTGGCTTCTGACAATAGGGCCTGCTACTCCTTTCTCTTTAAGGTTCAGTTTGCTTCTCGTTCCACCGGCCCCTCACCTCTAGTCTGTTCCCCTCAGCTGTCTCCTTTAGGGCTTCCCTCCCTCGTGGCTTCTCCAAATAAGGTAGCTGTAGTGTAGTGGAAAAATCGATGGATTTGTAAAAACTGGGTTTGAATCGCAGTTCTGCCACTTATTACTTGTGTGATTGTGGACATGTTTCTGGAATTCAGTTTTCTCATCTATAAAATGAGAGGGTTGGAATAGACAGTCTCTAGGGTCCCTTCCAGCTCAAAATCCCATGATTTCCCTTACACCTGTCACTGTTTCACCAGATCTGACCCTCCCCAATCATATCCCCACCCATTCCCTTTGTCTATACCAGCCTGATTTAGTTATCCTCCATGAATGCCCATCCTACCCTGATTTTCCTTGAGGAATCTGTCCAGCTCTTGAGCACAATATAACCATTATCTTTGTTCCCTACTGACCCTAAATTTCTCCTGTTTTAACTTTTCCAATTCTCACCTGGCACTGATGCCAACAGTCAGGTGATAGCAGTAAGAATTGTACATTAGCCATAAGGTTTTCGGTCAAGACCTGTCAGTGTGGAGGAAGCCATGGCTTGAGAAAGAATAATTGTTTCTGTCCTTCCTTGTCTAGGAAGGTATCTCCACCCCCATCCTAAACCTTCAGACCATATGTCTTTCCCCTCTGTGCCATCAGCATATTTTGTAGCCTCTTGGGTTACCCCTGTTGCTGGGTATCCCATTTTCCTTGGGGGGGCGGGATTCCCTATCAGGAATGGTGGGGCAGGGCCTTGCATTTCCCATGGCTTTAGGAGGGCAGATGGGGAGGTGGTGTTGGCAGGGGGTACATGCAGTCCTGGCTCTACTCACCAGCACTTGGACACTAAATCCCATGTTGATGTCTCCTGCTGCCCCCCTCCCTGGGGTAGGGTTACCACCTTCTGCCCTGTCCCTTTGACCCTCTCCCCTCCTCATTTCCACTTGCCCCTCTAGAGTTGCTCTCTCCTATCCCACAATAGACAATCTCCCTTCTAGTTTTGTCTTAGATTTCCCTGGCCCTTTCACTTGACCTCTTGGTTCCAGTCTCTTTGTGTTTCCTCCTTTATTTCATTAGGATGGAGAAGATGCTGAAAGTTATGGGGCAGTAGGGACAGGCTGAGCTGTCCAGGTGGGAATAGTGGTAGAGGGAACAAATGGAGGGAGAGGGGGGAAAGGATGGAAGGGCTGAAAGGGGGTTGTAAAGGAAAAGAATAAGATTGGATTGAGGAAGCTAGAATTTCATGGAGAGAGGAGGCAGGGGAAGTTGGGGGGAAGATGAGAAACATAGGAGACAGATAGTCTCAGCCTCCCCCTGCCCCCTCTTTTCCTGGGGCAGGGGCCACTCTGGCCTTATGAGTGACATCTCAGGCTGCAGCCCCACTGTTCCCCCTCTGTCAGCAAAAATACCTCTCCTGGCCCCTCCTGTTAGGGTCTTAGCCAGCCAATCCTGGGCCTGGTGGGGGGGTTGGGCACCCCCTCAACTCACTCATAAGGGCCAGCTGGGGGTTGGGGGGGTGGCCGGCTGCTGTAGGTTGGACGGGGGTCAGAGTTACGTGAAGGGGAAACAAGCCCATTGGGGGGCTGAAGAGAGACAGAGATAAGCAGGTGGAGAGACTAAGGAGGAAATCCCCCACGTGTAAAAGAGACCCCCTGGAAAGAACGCACCGGCCCCTGGCCCCCAGGAAGGGAGCAAGATGGAGGCCGCACACTCCAAGACCACAGAAGAATGCCTGGCCTATTTTGGGGTGAATGAGAACTCTGGCCTCAGCCCTGACCAAGTTAAAAGACATCTAGAGAAATATGGACCCAATGGTGAGTATTTGGAATTGGAGCTGACTATCCCTTCCTCAGTAAGGTCCCTTTACCCTACAGATTCTGGGGGGAAAGCTCAGTTGTAGCACAACTGAATTCTGGAAGGGAAG